TTTTGGGGTGGGCTTGTGCCACGTGGTTCATTGAGAGTTGCGATGCCTGCTGGGAGGCTGCAGAAAGGCAGACAAAGGAGTGCAGAGGACGTGTGCATGCTAAGGCTGGCTGTAGGAGACCCACATTCAATTCCCTACTCGGGTGTGGGCTCCTCATGTAACCTTGTGCCAGTTGTGACTATGGCAGAGCCTCGGTTCCCTGCCTGTAAAATGGGAATAACAGTAGCACTTCCCTGCCGTGCAGGGGAAAAATGCTCTGCAGATAAGGAGTGCCCAGGCACTAAGGGAATGGGCCATACTGACGTCTAAAGTAACAAGCCTAAGCAATCCTCCAGCACAACCAGTCCTCTTGCCCTCTGAGGCCGTTGTGCTTGGCGGTGCTGACGTGGCTCTCGGTGTGTTTCTTGCAGCACTTGAAGACGCTGCAGCGGAAGCTGGAGGAGCAGGAGGAAGCCCTGCTGGGGCGCGCCCAGGTGGTGGACTTTCTGCAGCAGGAGCTGCGTGGGGCAGAGCAGCAGAGCCAGGTACCGCCTCATGTGCTGCTTGCAGCAGACTCGCTCCTCAGGTGCGGGCATCTTGTCCGGAGCCTGGCGGCTCTCACAGCTCCTTGCTGCTGAGGCCTCGCTTCTGACTTGGGCTCTGCTGGGAACTCCCAGGTCATTCAGGGATGTTAACTTGTGGATCTGAGACAGTTTGTCTGCAGTGGGACTGCAGTGACCCTCGGTGTGTGAATTAGGAGTTTTATCCAGTCTGCCCCTAGCATCTTGAAGTTGAGGAGCTCAGCTTTCCCAGCCGTGGGGCCTTGCTTTCATGCTCAGTGTCAGACTTTCAGGGTCTCTGGTCCCAGACCAAAGGATCTTTTTCTCTACCGTTGTCACTGGCTAGTCTCTCTCCCGCTGTCACCGCATCAGGAGCACTTTGATCTCCGAGGCCCCCATGTCATGAGTAAGACCAGGTCTAGTTAGGAGAGCTCTGGAGGGTACCTAATTTTACCACCTCTGTGGTTTAAAAAAGGAAAAGAGTGGTTAAGTGCTGCACAGGACTCGCCCAGTGCCGGCTTCTGCAGGAAGGCCGGGGCGGGGGGTCTAACATTATTCATCTTTTTCAAGTTTTGAGGGGAGTGGACACAAACTGCCTCGTGGCCGAGACTCTTGCAACGTAGGCATAGACATGCTCGCCTGGCTCTGAGATGAGCTGGTTTCTTTCCGTTTTCTTAAAATGTTAATGTTCAAGATAGGGTTGGAGCGTGTGGGTGGTTCAAACCTCCGAGAGTCCAAACGAGATGTGCAGATGTTAGGTGTTGTTCAGTCACAGTGTCATGGAGAAACAGGACCAGATGGGCCCTTTGAGTGCCTTCTAGTCCAACCTCTGCCTGAAGTGCAAAAGAAAACTTGAGTTTTGTCCTTTTTGCTTCGGTGTTCAAGAGATGTGGAAAGCTGAGCTGTTTGTGTGGGTTTTCTGCAAGAAGGCCCCCTCTGCCATGTCTCCCCTGCTGAAATGGTGGGATAACGACAGCACCGCTCGTAAGCAAGTGAAACTTGCTGGAGAGGAAGTGTTTTGTTTCCCTCTACCGTCCCCTTCCTCGTCCATCCCTGACACCCTAGGCTGAAAGGAAGCCGGGTGCAGAGGCACTCCCCCTGGCTTGGATCCAGCTCTCACCGGGTTGGCAGTGGCGCGCTCTGGCCCTGCCGCGATGCAAGCCTGCCTCTGTGCAGTCCCTCCCGAAGGGCCTGGCTGTGCGGTGAAAGCTGGGTGTGGTGCCAGGCACTCCCGTCTAGCACTGGTGTCTGGGAGCGAGCGAGCCGATACCCTAGAACTTTGACCTGGGGAAATTTCCACCTGGCTTGTTGCGAGGATTGGGAGTTGGCTGCCATGATCTCTTCTGAGAAGCTCCCTTCTAGCCCAGCCGTCCCCTTACTCCTGAGTTCGAGCAGGGTGCCCGTTTCCTGCTTTGGAGCTGCCTAGAAACAGAGCGTGTTGGCCCTCTAAGTGTCTTTTCCTTGCTGTAATCCAGATTTCTCCCAGCACATGCAGTTTCCCCTTTGGGGTCCTAGGATGATATTCTCCTGTGCTGGCCTAGTTTCCAACCCGTGCAGTTCCTGTGCACTCTTTCTTTTACTTGGATAGTTGGAAACTTTCCCTTGCTTCAGTTTGATGCCGAGTATGGTCCCGTTTTCAATCAGTGCCTTGAGGTGTGTTGGCTTTCCCTTCTGTTTAAGTCCCTCCCGGTTTGCTTTCACAGACCCTCTCAGAGCAGTGCCAGAAGATGGAGGCAGAGCTGAGCGCCTTGCAGAGCGTGCTGGAGGCAGAGAGAGAGGCGTCTCGGAGCCTCCCGGAGAAGATGGAGCTGGAGCTGGCTGAGCAGAAGCAGGCCTTGCACAGCCTTCAGGAAGAGGTGCAGAGTCTGTCTGAGCAGCTGGCTCAGGCAGGGAGGGCGCGGGCTGAGCTGGAGTCGGAGTGCAGAGCCCTGGAGCAGAAGCACAGGCTGGAGACGGAGGAGAAGGACCTGCAGATCTGTCGGCTTCAGATGGTGGAGCAAGAGTTGTGCTCGAGCCACGATGCCCTCGTTGCAGAGAACCAGCAGCTGCGGCAGGATGTCGATCGGTTGCTGGCGCCACCCGCTGAATGCTCTGCCGCCGCGTGGTGCCTGCAAGGTCAGCCAACGGTGCAGTGGGGCCGAGGCATCCTGGGGATCTCCTGGGCGGGTGGGAAGCGGCTTTGCTTTTTATGGTGGTTCTCAAGGAAGCACGTAATGCTCTCAGGGAGAGGGAAGCATAACCCTGAGCCTTGCATCACGCTTTCCCCAGCTACCAGCTTGTCCAAACCGTCGTGAGTTTGCTTGCTAAGTTGTTTAAAATACCTTCAGGGGATATCACAAACTTAGCCATCCCTGTCCCTGTAAGAGCAGATCACCAAGGGCTGTTGCAGTGAGAACTCAGGCTGTGTTATGACAGGGAAAACTTACCTTTTTCCCCCGGTTTTGCCTTGTGTGTTTGAGGGTGTTTTGTGCAGCTGATTCTGCTGTTTTCCCAGGACAGCCCCTTCCCACTGTTGCAAAAACAGGATGGTAAAAGCATAAAACTTGGCAAGTGAGTGGCCCATGAAGAGGAGAAATTCCTGAGACTGGATGTCGTACTAATGCTTTCCTTGAACCACAGGCTAGTTATTTGTTTAATATGCAAAGCACCTGCCTTGCAGGGAGAGACGGAAGAAGCTCGACTTTATTTATTTTACCTGAGAGAAAGTTAAATAGCAACTTGTCCCTGCCCCCTTGGAGGAGAGGCTCTTCAAGACACAGGCAGCTGGAGGCAGACTCGGATGAGAAATACCGTTGGTAGCCAAGTGCCCTTAACTGCTAGCGCAGCTCCCTGAGGATGCTCCGTTGCTTTACAGCAGGATTGGGCGTCTCTAAAAAGACCCGTCAGCACTGCCAGAAGCTGAGGGCCCTTAGTGATGTCATATGGTCACAGTACGATCCTCCAGTCTGCCCTCCTGCATACATCCTTCCTGGCCTTCATACCTAGGAACCTGAGCACTGGGCACATGGGTTACCAGTAGGGTTGAGGGCTCCAGGCAGCCGGCAGTCACAGCGCAGGTTTCCTAGACACACAGTTTGACGCTCCAGAAAGGAGCATCCTGTCTCCTCGAGTCTTCGGTCCCGGGCCCTGCTGGGGCTCTGGGCAAGAGGCAGGGGTGCCAGCTGTTGCAACATCTCTGCAGACGGGTGTACTGAGAATTCAGTCTAGATTAATTTATATTACATAATCTCAGTCTCTGGCTGCTTTTTCTTGTATGGGCTCTGAAAGGAAGCAGTGACTGGAGAGGCACTGGTGCAAATGGCTGGTGCAATAAACCAGTGTGTGCACACACAGGCAGAAGGTGGGTCACAGAATCACAGATGACAAGGGCTGGAAGGGAGCTCAGGAGGTCACATCTAGTCCAACCCCTGCTCCAAGCAGGACCAGCCCCATCTACATCATCCCAACCAAGGGTTTGTCTAGTTGGGTCTTCAAAACCTCCAAGGATGGAGACTGCACCACCTCTCTGGGGAGGCTGTTCCAGTGCTTTATTACCCTCCCAGTGAGAGTTTTTCCTAATATCCAACCTCAACTTCCCTTGCTGCAACTTGAGTTGAATCCACCCAACCATATGCACTGGTGCACTGCTTTTTCTATTGCCTTTTACTGGCCCGTGAGGGATTGTGTCAAACGCCAGGTGCCCATTTACAGCTGGGTTGACGGGGTGGCTTCCATTGTGAGTCTGGAGCGAGCTTCAAATTCGCACCTCTGGAGCCATAGCAGAATGCCTTTATCCCTTGGCCATGGGTGTAAAAGCTCAGACAGGAACACTTCTGTGTTAATGTTTTCTTTTAGAGGAGCTTGCACAGACATCCGAGGCGTCCATTCACCCCCAGGCTGACCCAGCATTGCTGAACTCCCTGCCAGTCGCACAGGTCTTCGAGGAGCAGGTGCCAGCTCTCAAGGTAACCTACCCAGAAACTATCCCATGTCCTGAGGATCGATGCTAGAATGCAGAGGAGGGGGACGCCTTCCCTCGCTGCCTTGGGGGAGAGGGTTGATGCATGGTCTAGGCTGGGCAGATGTTTTACAAAACCGGTGGAGTAGAAACATCTGGAAGGTGGTCAAGGCTGGGGGATGGAGAACTTGCAAACTGACTTGTCGAAATCCCAGCGGAAAGAACAGGACCTCGTTCTCCTGAGAAACCTGTCGGCGACTTGGTCTTTCTGCTCTCCAGCCAGGCTCTGCACAGGCTGAAGCAACCCTGCAGGAACACCTCATGGAGCAGCAGGAGGAGACGGGGATTTTACTGCCTTCCACTGCAGCACTGGAGGACCTGAAGGCTGAAAATGGTATAATTACACCTCCTCTTGCCTATTTTTAGCTAATGAACATGCTTTTGGTTACTGGATTAATCTACATGCCCTGCTAAGGACTTAGAGCTGCTCTCTAATCCTCTGCACAAGGAAGGGGGAAAGAACTGTTCAAATCTCAGCCTGTGAGCAAAGAGTAAAGGGAAACCCAGCAAATAGGCCAGCCTCTTGGGATAATAAGGCCAGCCCAGCCCAGCATAGATCCCTTCTGATTTTAGCCTTTGGGATAGCAAGCAGAGAGTGGAGGAGGCAAGGAGAGGAGGCGGAAAGGATTTCTGTTGTCATTACCTCTGTAATGCCACGTGCGTGTGTGTGTGTGGCTCTCCCTGCCTGGCAGAGCTCACAACCCATGTAGAGACCAGAGCACTGGAAGCAGCGATCATGGGGAAAGGAAGGCAGGGATGATGAGGTGACATGGCCCCAAGAGGGGTCAGCCCTCACAACACGGCTTACTAGCAGTTTTGATGTGTTGCGTGTCTTCTGATGCGTCCTGCATCTGCGATGCAGTCTGGGTGCGAGGCAGCGTGTGCTGAACACATGCTTGAATGCTCCAAAATAGCAAGGAAAGATTAGAGGAATAGTGCTGGCCCCAGTGCAAAAGGCCGAGGAGCTGCTGGCGGTGCATTTTGCACAGGTGTCACGGTGCAGGGCCCATCTGTGGGGATCGGATGCATGTCTGGAAACGTTGGCTGGAAGCCACAGCAGCTCTCCTAGCCTGCTGGTGCAGCTTAGAAGAAAATAGTAGCTCCTGGCTGGCAGGTTTGGGGTGTGTGAGGGAGACCTTTGAAGGGAGTGGTGGGGTGACAGGCAAGGCTGTGTGGGAAAGGGTTTATTGCACTGTTCAGACTGGTTCCTCCTGGTTTCCATTTGTCCTGGTCTTCATATAGCGTGCCACTACCATTCACTTACCACATATCTTGGGGATCCCCCTGTGCCCTTATCACCAGGCTTTTAATTGAGAAGGGTGGAAGGGGGCCGTGTGATCCATAGACCCTAGTTTGAGACTAGCTGGTATGATGCATATTAAACACCATCCAATATTAAGCTTCACGTCCAAAAGCAGGCTGTGTCATTGCAGCGTACCCAAAAGTTGCTGTAGGAAGGAAGAAAGCCTATAAATCCCATCTGACTGCACTCGGTAGGAGGTCACGGTCGACCTTGTTAGAAGGTCAAGGTAACGTCTTTCATAAAATGGCTGAGCATTGAATGGAAAGCTCCTACTGGCCGGGCCCAACGTGGATGGGAGCGAGTTACACACGTAGTCTTTTAGCTCAGGATGTGCATCCTGGAGGAGGACACGCATTCGAGTATCTCCCTGGTCAAACCTGTCCATAACTCATCCCAATGGGAGTCGCTGAGTTCCTTTCCTGCGGCAGCGAGTCGGGAAAGTCCTCTTTTGGTCGTTAAAAGCATTACCTTCAAGCATATCAGATGATGTTAATGTGGGCACTTTTCCCATTGCAGTTCTGTCTGGGGTTTTGCAGTGCGCCTCTCACCATGGCTTCTAGGTGCTGGTTTACAGAAGGTCACCGAGTGGCTCTTTCTTTCCTGGCACCTGTTGCTGCAAGCCCTGCGGTTCTGAACTGCTTTGGGGCCAGAACAGCAACTCCATTTCACTTCGCATGAAAGGGGAGAGTGGGACTAGGGCGCGCCTAAAGGTTTTCATCACAGCAGGCTCTCCTAAATCCTGTAGCCCTCTCCAGGGTGCTCTGGAAGACGCCTGCCCTGGTGCCAGCACCCTGTCGGGGCAATCACAGCCTTTCTCTGAGACGTCCTTCGTCTGGGGGTGATTGCGCTTCTCGTCCCCACCTGGCACGTTGCTGAGAGCGAGCCTGGGAGGGAAGGTTAACGCCTGCTTGTTCATGACCATTTCAGAGACCCTGCGCGCTCGACTGGCCCTTGTGGAGGCTCAGCTGGAAGCTGCGATGGGCACGGAGCATCCCAACCAGGTAACGACTCGCACAGGCCGGACTCCAAGTCGGTCAAGGGCGCAGCCTTGAGCAGCTTCCCCTAAGTAGCTGTGGCCTCTCCAAGCAATCCTCTTTGGGGCATGATTAGCTGGATTTATGTGGGTGGCAGAAGAGGCTCTGCATACAGCCTGTACTTGGCTGGGTATCAAGCCCCTCCCCTTCGCTGGCTGCACGGGAATTGGGGTATCCTTCCGGCTGCTTTTCTCTGCCCTCCGCAAGGTGCGTCAGCCTTTGGCCCAGTCCGGCCCGGCTGAGCTGCGCGTGGCAGGATGCATCCAGCCCTGTGCTGCCCCATGGCCCTGGCAGGAGATATGTCTTGCATCTTGCCAAATGAGCAATATGTCGGGCAGGAGCAAGGGGTCGCAGAACCTCTTTGACCTTGGTCTCCGCAGATCAGATCAGTGCTGGTGCCAATGCGGGCCATTGCCGTTGGTATCTGTCTGAGCTGAGATACACATGAACGCGGACCCTGCGCAGGGATGGGCTGCTGCATCCCATGTCGGCTTTGTGCAGATGTTGGTGCCTCGGTGGCTAGGATGGTTTGGCCAGGCGGCCCAGATCCGACCTGTGGCACTGCGTCATCTGGCCCGTGGGGCTCCTCCTGGATCTAGAAATTTGGCAGCACTGGTTTGCTGCTGCCAAATCTCCAGACCCTGCATGCTGGTGTCTGATCCGAGCATGCAGAGCCGGGCTGCAGGTGTTGGGGGGGCCCCCAGGACCCATTCTTGGCACGCGGAGGGCAGGTGTCATACTCCAGGGCTCGATCCAGCCCCGCACCACTCATCTGACCCATGAGGCCAAAAGGTTCAGTACCTGCTGGTTGAAATCTGTACCAGGAGCTAGGTCTGCGGGCACGATCTGTCCACAGGGCTGGTGCTCGCTGGGCGCTCTGCATCGTGATTGTGGGATGGTGGCACCACTTGCATTGCTGAAACTTTTCAGTGTCCTGTGTCCTCCGCTTGAGCATACAGGGGTTTGCTTTGGGGCTGCTGCGGTTGCGACTGAGCCGCAGCGATGCGTTTGCCTGCTTTCCACCCCCGCAGGCAGCTGCTGCACGGGCTGACCTGGCTGGGACCTGACCTCAGCCCGGAGTTGTTCGCATGGGCTGTGAGAGGATCCCAAGCACCACATGAGTGTTGTGTTAACGAAAGGGCATTTCGGTCGTCCCTCCCTCACGGCAGCTTTGACCTCCCCTCCTCCTGCTAGTCCAGCATGCACGGCTGCTGTTTAGAAACTGCCACCTGCATGCAGCGGGTTGCAGTGATGACAGCATGTGCAGGGTCTCGGCTGAAGACCACGCGGCTACTCTGCATGTGTCTGCCCGCTCGCGAGCGCCCCTCATCCCACAGGCCTCTTCCGTCTAAGCCCTAGGAAGGGAAGCTCTTATGCGGCATGGCTCTGTCAAAGAGAGGGCAGACCCTGTGTCCACGGGCCTCTCCTTGCTGTGCTCAGGGGGTGGGAATGGGCTGATGGGAGCGCAGGGAGGCAGGCAGGAAGGAGCGGGCCCACATGAGGATTGCGATACGTCTTGACGCCCACAGGGTCAGCCTTTGCCGTACCACTGAGCTCAGCTCTGCCCTTAAACTGTTGACTACTCTTATACAGACTTTTTCCTCCATGGGGCAACAGAGGTAAGTCATAAAGTAACGGGTGAAGGTAAAACAGGTCCGACTAGACACGAGGCTGCTAAAAGAGCAGAGCCCCAGGGTGAAGGCTGCGGCTCGAAGAACGTGAGCACTGGCTTACTGGGTCAGAGCAATGGTCCGTCTAGCCCAGTCTTCTGTCTTCGGCAGGAAACCCATGGCACATCAAAAAGGCCCGTCTCCAACAGTGGTAGAAGTGGATGCTGCAGAGGGGAGCACATTCAACTGGATCCCTCTAGAGAGATCTATCCCCTGTTCATTACCCTCGCTAGCATCCACCGTTAGGGGTTTAGAGAGATCAGAGTAAACATCTCTCTGGACTTTTTTAAGAAACATTTGGACGTTTATCTTGCTGGGATCCTTTGACTGTAGCTGGCTTCCTGTCCCTGGGGCAGGGGGCTGGACTGGATGATCTTCTGAGGTCCCTTCCAGCCCTAATGTCTATGAAATCTCCAACCCTTCTGGTCAGTAGCTATTGATAGACCCATCAGCCATGAATTACCAAGTTCCTTGTTGACCCTGGCTATGCTATCAGCTTCCACCACCTCCTGTGGCAGTGAGTTCTGCAAGTTAACTGCAGGTTGTTTAAAAGAGTCCCCTCTCTCTGTTGCTGGTAGGCTGACAGCCCCGGAGCTGATGCCCTGTCACCAGAGTCGCCGAGTCCTGAGGAACCGTCCTCAGCTGGAGACCCCTCGCCTGGGCCTGAGGGTAAGATGCAGGATGCGGGTGTTGGGGTGACCGAGCGGCGAGGGCTTCAGCAGGGAGCGGCGGGGCTCGGCGCCAGGTTTGAAGTGACACCGGCAGAGGGGAGGTTCTGATGCATGGGGACGGGAGGAGCTTGAGACGGCTCAAGGAAGAGGCGAGATGGCTGGGTGAAGGCTGGGTGGGTAACGTAGCATGCAAGGAGGGGGCCTGGGAAGAAGCAAGGTGCTAGGCCAGGAGCCAGAGACCTGGTTTTCCCTCTTGCTGCACCCAGCTGCTGTGGGTTAGGAGGACCTCCTAGCCTCGTGGGCTGCTGGGCCCATGAGATGATTGGAGAGAGCCAGGCCCCAAGCATGCACGCACGCTTCGCCCTGTTTAAAATGTGTGCTGCAGCCACATGTCTGCCCCTTCCCTCTGCTCGTGGGCTGGGCATGGAGCCGGACGTGCTGATGGCGACAGGCATGTGTTTTCTGTCTCTAGGTGCCTCAGTCGTGCCAGAGAGTCGCGAAGAGCCAAGTCCCCAGCTGCCTGATGACCCTGCACCTCCGCCACAGGTATGAGCTTTGCAGCGGTGGCTTCTCATGCGACCAGACCAATCCAAAGTTGAGGCCACAGTCTTGCTCAGGAGGGTTTGAGGAAAGTCCAAAGAATCTTCTGCCACCGCCAGCATTGTACAGCCTTTTGCTGCTGCTCCAGGTCCTTCATGCTGAGCCCTCTTGAGTCGTGCCTCGCACACGGGTGCTTCGAGGCTTGACAGCCACCGGCTGGGATGACGTGCTCGGGGGCTGACCCTGTGCGGAGCAGGGGCCTGCACTAGTTGTGACCTGAGGGCCCCGCCAGCCTGGCTGTGCTGTGATCCCCTCCAGCCTGCCAGAGGACAGCCTCTGCAATGCTTAGACATGGAGGTCACGGGCAATTAAAGTACTGCCCGGGTAGGCACAGGGAGAAGTCGGGGATCCCCTGCCCCCACGTGTCTCCAGAAGACCTCTGAGAAGAGACAGCGCCTTGCTCCAGGCGTTCGCTCAGTTTCTCCAACCCTGACCCCGACTCTCAACAGCACATGGGCCTTTTTTCTAACCCCACGTAACAAAGGATTTTGACCCCTTTGTGCCTCTTGGGTAGCTGGCAGCTCAGCACAAGAGAGTTGAATCCCTCGAGGGACCTCTCTGAGCTGATATCCCTCTGTCCAAGTGCATTCGTCCCCTTGGACTGGCAGTCGTAGCTGCTCCTAAGGTCCTTTCCAACTGGGCACCGGGCACGAGGGTTGAGCAGGCTTTGCACAGCGATCGAGAGCCTCCTGGTGTGCCGAAAGCAAACCTTTTCTTCTTGTTTTAGGCCGGTACAGAGGACGCTTCCACCTGCAGCTCGCAGCTGGCTGGAGCCGGTGGCTCACCCGCCACTCAGGGGTCTGTGGCTGCAGAGGAACACAAAGAGCTGTCGGTTTTGCTGCTAGAGCTCAGCGAGGCTCAGGAGGAGATCGACTTCCTGAAGCGGCAGCAGCTGCAGGACCCGGGCAGTCAAACCTCCATGGGGACCTGGACGGGAGAAGAGACCAGCCTGCTGGGAGAAGGATCCCAGGTGGAATTCCTCACGGGAGAAGGGCAGGAGGCCTCACCTCCCCAAAACGAACTGAGCGGCAGCTCCATGCTTACAGAGGTGGAAGCCCAAGGCATCGCAGAGCATCGGGAGCAGACAAGCATCCCGGAGAGCATCATCCAGGGCGGAGGGGAAATGGGGGCTGTGCTAGAAGTCTCTGGAGCAGCCCCAGAGCCTGGCACATGTCAGCCTCAGGAGCTGACGAGGTTGCAGATGCAGATTGAGGACCTGCAAGCACGCCTGCGATCATCAGAGGAGCTGCATGAAAACGAGTTAAGGGAGAAAGCTGCAGAAATAAGCAGGCTAAACCAGCTGGTTGAGGAACACAGGAGAAATGTTGAGGACTCTTCCAGTGCCCTTTGTGCCCTGGCTGGTGAGAGAGACCAGCTCCTGTCACAGATGACGGAGCTCTGTACCATCACGGAGCTCAAGGAGCAGGTGAGGCAGCTGGAGGAAAACCTCGCCGACTCGGAAAAGCAGAGGTTCTCGGACTACGAAAGCAGGACGGTGCAGTTCAGCCTCCTGAAGGAACAGATCCAGAGCCTGAAAAACGAGTCGAAATCCAAGGAGGTCAAAATTGAAGCTTTGCAGAAGGACCTTGACGAGGCCCAGCTGGAGCTATCTCAACAGGACGCTGTAGCCAAGGGCCTGAAAAGCCAGCTGGAGAGGAAGGAGGGTGAAGTGCTGGATAGGGAGGAACGCCTGAGGAAGAGCACGGTCAAGACGGAGGAGCTGTCCCAAAACATTACTGCCAAGGAGCTGGAGACCGCCCGGCTGGAAGAGCTGCTCGCTGAGCAGACGGAGACTGTGGCGAGCCTCCAGCGCACCTTGCAGGAAAGGGACCAGCAGATGATGGAGATCAGCGTCAGCATGTCTGAGAAGATGGTCCTGCTAAACGAAGAGAAGTTCTCTCTGGGCAGCGAGCTGAAGAGCCTGAAGGAGCAGATGAGCCAACGGCAGCAAACCCCGGAGGTACGAGACCAGCAGACAGAGACGGTGGGGGAGGCAGAAGACACGCGCCTGGTGGGTGATGGACCCCAGCGGCAAGGCGAGGCGGCACCGCGTAGGGAGGAGGAGGTGCCGGTCGGAGAACTGGAGCTGCTGAGGAGGGAGAACGAGCAGGTGAAGCGGAAGCTGCAGGTAGCTCTCGTCAACAGGAAGGAGCTGCTGAAGAAGGTCAGTAGGCTGGAGAGCGACTTGGCGTGCGGGCGAGAGCAGCCGGGTGCAGAGGCGCCGGAAGCCGCAGCGGAAGAGAATGCCCCCAGCGGACCGCGTTCAGGCACCGAGGGGACTCCCGAGAGCCCAGGCAAGGAGACGGTGCCGGCCGAAAGAGAAGCTGAGCTGCAGAGCCTCCGTGACGCCTTGCTGGAGAAGGAGGCGGCTGAGGCACGGTCCCAGGCACAGATAGAGGAGATGAGGCAAAGCTTGCAGGACAAGGCCACCCTTGTCGAGTCCCTGAGAGCGGAGGTCACGGAGAGCCAGTCAGCCCTCCAGAAGCTAACGGCAGCTCGTGAGAGCTCAGAAGCTCGTTTCCCAGCAGATGAGGGCGACAGCAAGAGTGAGGACGTTGGTGCATCTGCTGCGGGTCTTGAAGAGCAGGAGACATCCGCCCTGAGAGCACGAATCTCTGCCCTGGAACAAGAGCGGGAGCAGCTCCACAGAAAGCTGCAGGAGGCTCTGGCCTCTCGCAAGGACACGATAAAGAAGGCTCAGGAGAAAGACCGGCACCACAGGGAGCAACTGAAGCAGCAAAAGGATGATTACAACCTCCTGCAGGAGCAGTTTGACAAGCAGAGCAAGGAGAAGGAAAGCATCCAAGATGAGCTCAGGCAGCTCCAGGAGCAGAGGGCGTCTGCAGAGAGGCCTCTAAGTGCACCTGTCTCCAGCTGCAGCATGCAGTCTTCATCCCTGGAAGCAGAAAACACACAGGCCAGCGGCAGCCTCCGGCAGGACGCAGACATCTCTGCGGAAGAGCCGGGGGCAGAGCTGGCGGCGCTGCAGGCTGAGCGAGACCAGCTGCGAGGCGAGATCAGCCGCGTGGAAACGGAGCTCGCTGACAAGTCCCAAGCAGCCGTCCAGCTACAGGAGCGCATCGCCCAGCTGCTTTCGGAGGTGGCCGGTCTGCAAAGAGCCTGTCAGCAAGCAGAAGCCAAGGCGGCAAGTCTTCAGCTGGAGCTGGAGAGGAGCCACGCAGAGATCTCCGGACAGGAAGATGTGGAGGAGCTAAAAGGCCTTGTGAGGCAGAAGGAAGAAGAAATCGGACTTCTCCACGCGCAGCTCGGGGAAAAGAGCGAAGCTCTTGCCAGCGCGCAGGCAGAGCGCCAGGAAAAAGATGACGTGATCCAGGCACTGAGCAGCCAGCTGGACGGGCAGGCGAGGGCGCATGAGGAGCAGAGCAGGCGGCTGCAGGCTGAGCTGCTCGAAGTCCAGCAGAAGCAAGACGAAGGGGCCGAAGAAGCCAAGTGGAAGAGCCAAATGCAGAGGAAGCTGCAGGCCGCGCTCATCTCCAGGAAGGAGGCGCTGAAGGAGAGCAAGTCTCTAAAAGAGGAGCTGGCTGCGGCTAGAGCCACCGCCGAAGATCTCTCCATTAGGTTGAGGGACCTGGAGCGCCAGGCTAGCGACTGGGCAGCGGAGAAAGACGCATTATCTGCAAAGGTAGCCAGGCTCACAGAAGAGAGAGAGAAGCTCATTGCAGAGGTAGACAAAGCCCTCATGGAAAACCAGAACCTCGATAGCTCTTGTGAGAGCTTGAAGTTGGCCCTTGAGGGCATCACTCGAGAGAGAGAGACGCTAGAGAAGGAGGTCGAATCCGCGAGGTCTTCGCAGGCTGCCACGAGCTCCGAGTGGCGAGAGAAACACCAGGAGCTGCAGAAAGAATACGAAACCCTCCTGCAGTCCTATGAGAACGTGAGCAACGAGGCGGAGCGGATCCAGCGCGTCCTGGAGACCGTCAGGCAGGAGAAGCAGGAGGTTTTCCTCCGCTTGAAAGGGGCGGAGGGTCAGCAAAGAGAAGCGGAGAAGCAGCTGCAGGACACTGAGCGGGAGGTCGAGGGGATGAAGGAGAAGATGAGGAAGTTTGCAAAATCCAAGCAACAGAAGATCTTGGAACTGGAAGAGGAGAACGAGCGGCTGAGGGCAGAGGTGCATCCTGCTGACGGTGACCCCGGCAGGGCGGGAGACGCAGCCCCGATGAGCGCCGGCCTTAGCGAGGAGCTAGAGCGTGCCAGGCAGGAGCATCAGTCTCTCTCTGCCCAACTGGAGATGTTAATGGCTGAAAAGGCTGCTCTTAGCCAAGAGGTGCAGGACTTGAAGCACCAGATGCAGTGCGCAGAGTCCAAGCTGAAGGAAAGCCTGAAGGCAGCAGAAGTAGAAGAAAGTCGAGTAGTTCCTGCAGCAGCATCTCCTCTAGCGAGGGCTGAAGACCTCAAGGATGTGAGCAGCCCTCCAGAGACCCTGGTGCCCGCCACCGCCGGCCCCGTAGCCGAGGCAGAACGAAAAGAGAGGGAAGGCAGCGCTTCACCCAGCGACATTGGTGCTCACCTGCAGCAAATAGCTCAGCTCGCGGAGCGAATCTCGGACCTGGAGGAGGGCAGGACGGCTGCGGAAGAAGAGCTTGGCCGCGTCCGTGCGAGCGTGGAGACTTTGGAGCAGGAGAAAGCAGCCTTAGAGAGCCTCGTGGCAGCAAAGGTCCAGGACCTGAACAGCCTGCAGGAGACGGTCGCCCAGATGGAGCTGACCGGCCGACAAACCAAGGAAGAGCTGGCCAGGATGACCCAGCTGAAGGAAGCCACGGAGGCCGAGAAGGACGATCTGGAGGAAAGGCTCATGAATCAGCTGGCAGAACTGAACGGGAGCATTGGGAACTACCAGCAAGACGTGACGGACCTCCAGGCCAGAGACGAGCAGCTGAGGTCTGAGCTGCAGGGTCTGCAAAGAGCCATGCACGAGTTGGAGGAGGAGAAGCGCCAGCTGCTGAGGGAGAAAGCCGAAGCGGAGGCGGAGACCCGGAGGGAGCACGCAGAGAAGCTGCAGTGTGCCCGGAAGGGAGATGGCAGCAGGACGCACGCCAAGGAGCTGCAGGAGCTGCTGAAGCAGAAGCAGCAGGAGGTGAGGCAGCTGCAGAAGGACTGCATCAGGAGTCAGGAGAAAGTCAGCGGCCTGGAGAGAACTGTGAAAGCCCTGGAGTTCGTCCACAGCGAGTCTCAGAAGGAGCTGGAGGCAGCCAAAGAGAGCGTGGCCAGGGCCGGTGAAGACGCCGAGAAAGCACGAGCCGAGCTGGCGTCCTGCAGAGCGCGGCTGGACGACACCCAGAGCGAGGCGGCCAGGGTGCTTGCAGAAAGCCTCAGGGTGAAGGAGGAGCTGCAGGCGACCAGGGACCAGGTACAAGCTCAAGCCAAAAAGCAAGGCGAAGACTTCGAGAAAAGGCTGGTGCAAGAGAGAGACAAGCATGCGAAGGAGGTGGAGAACATGGCTGAGAAGCTGGCAGCCTCGCACAGAGAGAGGGACCGGCTGGAAGGGGCCGTTGGGGACGTCCAAGACTCCCTGCACAAGAAGGACCAAGAAACCAAGCAGCTGCAAGGCAGCCTGAACAAAACCCTGGCCCAGCTTGCAGCCTTCACCCGCAGCATGTCCTCCCTCCAGGACGACCGGGACCGCGTGATAGACGAGTCCAGAACGTGGGAGAGGAAGTTTACCAAGGCCATCCAAAAAAAGGAGGAGGAGATCCGGTCCAAGGAGGAGACCTGCGCGGTCCTGAAGGACCAGGTTCGACAGATGACCATGCACGCCGAGGAGCTGCAGATTCAGATATCCAGGTAACGAGGGGATAGCTCTTTGCTCTGGTCCTTGCAGCTGGAGGCAGTGCAGAGCCGTGACAGTCCAGCAAAAACGCAGGAGATGAGGGCTTCTGTGGGTGGTGTTTTTATGGGACTGTTTGTATCGCTGGGCCAGCGTTCAGGTTCTGCTGGCCGTCTCCAGGCCTGAGGGAAGGGCACAGCGGGACTCGAAAGCTTGTCTGCATCCCTGCTGTATACTTGGTCCAGTAGAAGATACTGCCCTTGGAAATCCCTGCCGTAAACAGGCCTTTGGATTTAAAGGGGGAGAAGCCACGGGGGTGGACAAGTTTCCAGGCCCCTGTTGAAAAGCAAAAGGCATTTGAAGACTTCATTCAGTTGTTTTAATTAAATCCTGGAGTCAGTCAGGATTCCCACAGCAAGCCTCTGGCTTTAGAGGGCCAGGTCTGCAAGGAAACTGGGGAGGCCACATCTGGAGTCCCACGTCCAGTTGTGGGCCCCCCACCATAGAAAGGATGTGGACACACTGGAGAGAGTCCAGTGGAGAGCTACAAAAATGGTTTGAGGGCTGGGGGACAGGACTGGTGAGGAGGGGCTGAGGGAAATGGGCTGATTGAGTCTGCAGAAGAGAAGACCGAGGGGGACTGAATAGCAGCCTTCACCTCCCTGCAGGGGGGCTGCAAAGAGGATGGAGCTGGGCTGCTCTCAGTGGGGGCAGACGACAGGACAAGGAGCAATGGGCTCCAGCTGCAGCAAGGGAAGTTGGCGTTGGATATCAGGAAAAACCTTCTCACTAGGAGGGTAATAAAGCACTGGAGCAGGTTACCCAGAGAGGTGAAGGAGTCTCCATCCTTGGAGGTGTTTAAGACCCAGCTAGACAAAGCCTTGGTCCTTGGCGGGGATGATGCAGTTGGGGCTGGTCCTGCTTGGAGCAGGAGGTTGGACTAGATGTGACCTGAGGTCCTTTCCAGCCTGCATTGTCTGTGAAACAAGCCCAGATGCAGCATACCCAAATTCAGCACCATGAGGGAAGGGGTAAAGGGACACAGATGTTAACTTCCCTGCTGTCTCTTCAGTCCAGCAGGCTTGTTGGGAATGCCAGCCAAAGTGTCTCTGCGGGGAGCAGGCCCATTTGAGCAGGCAGCATGGGAGAGGATTAAGCTAGAACAATTTTGAGACGAACAGAAAATGAAAGTCTATTTACTGACAGCTGAGTATTGGCAGGGCTCCACTGTGCTGTCCAGGGACCAGGGGGGACGCTCCAGGAGACGGGGAACGTCTGATGCAGTCGTGCGGGCTGCCCCTACGTGCTAGGGTGGCAGGTGCTCTAGCAACGTGTAGCATTAGTGATTGTTGATGCAAATGTGGGTAGTGACATGCGTGGGGGATTGGCCTCATATGTTCTTCTTCCTGTGTCCAGGCTCGAGCATGACAAACGGGACTGGGAGGCAGAGTCCAAGAGGGAGGCCCAGCAGCATCGAGAGGCATCTGAAAAGTTGCAGGAAGAGAACAAGGGGCTCCTGTCTCAGCTGGAAGAGGCTCAGCGGCTGCACAGGGACTCTCAGAGCGAACAACAGAAGCTGGAGGGAGAGATCAAGAGCCTCCGAGACCAGCTTGCCAATACACGTCACTCCTTTGCCAAGTGCGAGTCTACAAGAGAAGAACTGGAGAGCACCGTCCGGCAGCAAGAAGCCAGCCTCCAGGACTGCAGATTCAGCTGCGAGCAGCTTGAGGCTGACCTCCAGGCCTCCCGGGACCTGACGAACAAGCTGCAAGAAGAGATCGGGGCCAAGGATCAAAAGATCCTGAGTCTGCTCTCCGCCAAGGAGGAGGCGGTGGTGGCGGCTGTGTCCGAGTTCCAGCAGCAGCACACGGAGGAGATTAAAGAGCTGGAGAGCAACCTGAGCAAGAAGGAAGAGGAGAAAACGGCCTTGGAAAATGGGAGGAAAAAAGCACTGGACAAGCTCGACCGTCTCGCCGAGAAGATGAAGGTAGTCAGGGAGGAGAGCAGGCAGAAGAAGGCTCAGCTGGACTCCTTCACCAAGTCCATGTCCTCTTTGCAGGATGACAGAGACCGCGTGCTGAGAGAGTACCGGCAGCTGGAGGAACGCCACCTCGCCGTCATCTTGGAGAAAGACCAGCTGATCCAAGAGGCGGCCACGGAGAACAACACACTCAAAGAGGAGATTCGCAGCTTCCACAGCCGGATGGACGACCTCCACTCGGAGAACGCCAAGCTGGAGGCCGAGCTGGTGCGGTACCGCGAGGACCTGAACCAGGTCATTTCCATAAAGGACTCTCAGCAGAAGCAGCTCCTCAAAACGCAGCTTCAGAGGATCCAAGCCCTGGAAAAAGACAAGGCCAGCGCAGAAGAGCAGCTGAAAGAGGCCGACCGTGCCCTGGAAGCTCTCCGGGAGCAGGTGGAAGCCCTGCAGAAGGACAAAGTCGGCCTGTCCGAGGAGATGGAGACCCTGACCGCCTCCCTCTCGGAAGCGCGGGACGAGGTGGCAGCGCTGCGCGAGGGGGCCGCCGTCGTGGATCTTGAGGCCCGGTTGAAAGGCAGGGAGGACGAGGTGCAGGAGCTGAGCAGTCGGCTCACGCTCACGCAGCAGCGGCTGACGGAAGTGGAGGAGGACCTGGACCGCGTCCAGAGGGAGGCAGCCAAGAAGGTGGACGAGACCGAGCACAAACTGAGGAAGGAGCTGAAGCACCTTCACCACGATGCGGGGGTCATGCGGAACGAGACGGAGACCGCGGAGGAGCGGGTGGCCGAGCTGGCGCGGGACCTGATGGAGATGGAGCAGAAGCTGCTGGCAGTCACGGAGGAGAACAAGGATCTCCGAGCCCAAATTCAGTCATTTGGGAAGTCGATGAGCTCTCTCCAGGACAGCTGGGACCAGAGCAACGAGGAGCTCCGGGCGCTGCAGCAGAAATACGCTGCGGACATGGAGGAGCAGCAGGGCCTAGTTCACAGCCTCCAGAAGGAGAGGGCCCAGCTGCAGGAGGGGCAAAGCAGCCTTGCCCGAGAGCGAGACTCCCTGGTGTCTGAACTGGCAGCCCTGAAGGAGGCTGCGGACGAACGCGGACTGTTGTCCCAGGTGGAGAAGCTTCATCAGCAGCTCCGGGCCAAAGAGGAAGAGCTTCGCCGCGTGTCCTCGGAGCTGGACGGGGCCTCCAGCCAGGTCAAGTCCTTCTCCAAAGCCATGGCCAGCTTGCAGGGCGAGAGGGACCGGATCTTGAGCGAACTGGACAAAGCCCGAAAGGTGGAGGAAGCAAAGCAGCAAGCGGCCGTGAGCACGTCCGCCAGCCCGGCTGAAGTGCAGAGCCTGAAGAAGGCCCTGTCCTCCCTGCAAGCCGACAGGGACAGGCTGGTGAGTTGGCGCTCCCCCGCCCCTCTTACACCCCTGGGGGAGCCTGGGAGGGAGCTCTAGCAGGGACCTCCTCCAGCATCCTACTGAAGACCCAGGAGGTCTGGCATTCATAGCGCAAACGCAGCACACGTGCGTCCCGATGCACCCGGGGCCCTTGTGACTCCATCGTTCTTTTGGCCTCTGTGACTCGGTGTCTCATTTAAAGCAGGGTCGTAAATTGGGTCCAGACCTGCTTCTGCTTGCCCAGCTCTTTTCTCTGGGGCTGATGCGGCACAGCTTGTAGTCTCCGATCCAGTCTGGTTCTGGACGGGCAGGTGTTTGGGGCTCCTGCCTTCCTGCGGCAGACGATTGGGGTGCCCTACCATGTACCTCCTTCCCCCCTCTTCCTATTTACCCGTCTTAGTCATCTCTGGACTTTGGTGTCCGCTCAATAATTGCTTTGCTGACCTTGACTGTGTAGCTCTGTTAATGGGAGAGCAGGACTGGAAGGGACATCTGTGGTCTCTGAGTCCGTCCCCTGCCGTGGCAGGCAAGCGCATCACGTAGTCCTGTTCACAAGCCAGTCCTGGTGCTGGATCGGGTGTGAACATCTGGAGAGGGCAGAACAGAAATAGATCCTCGCAAGGGAAAGCACCTTTTTTTCTCTTGCTGCAGAGGAGGACTCAGACAAACCGCTGGAAGTTGCAGCAAAGTAGGTTTAGGTTGCATCCCAGGAAGCACTTCCTCACTGTCAGAGCAGGGAGGCCGTGACAGACGTCCGGGGAAGCTGTGGACTCCATCACTGGAGGTGTCACGGTGTTTCCACCTCCCTCCTGCTGCTCCATGTGTGTGGGGGTGGGAGGGGTTAATCCTCCTCCCAAGGCACTGGTGCTGGGGATGGGCTGTGCCAATGCTGCTGCTGGCACCAACCCCGCAGGGTCCTGGCTGGAGGATCTTGCCCCTGCGCTCAGGCTCAGCCCCACGCTGCACTGGGGCTTCATTGCTCTGCACAGCTGCTCAGTGCCTTCGTCCTACTCCCTATTCTTCCCCCACAGCTTGAAGCTTGCAGGACCTGTTTTCCCATTGTGTTCCCCTTACCCCCATAGACTTCAGCTTCCTGCCCCAACCCAGCAGCGCCAGCGCCTGTGCATTGCAGCCCAGCCCTGTTGCTTCGGCACAGGTGTGGCGGTTGTTTCTGTCCAGCCTTGTCCAAGATCCCGGCTGGAACAGGCATGACCTAAATGCTTGTCCTGCCTCCATGCTCGGTGATGATCTTGCCTTGCAGACCTCAGTGCTCGCTCATTCCTTGCTGCCACCTCATTCACCCCACTTTCTGTCGTTGCGAGCGTCTTCTCTGCATGGAGTCAGTGTGTGGGAATCCCCCCAGCCTCTCCTGCAGGGGCCTGAATTTAAAGCAGCTCGTATGTGTTGATCTCAGGAAGCTGTCTTCTGATTTACCCCAGTGGAGCCCAGGCCCGGAGAAGGGTTTAGTCACCCCTTGCCCTCCAGTTAACACCAGCCTTGTGTTCACCTTTGCTCTGGGGATAGGAAGGACCCCACTGAAGACTGTGCTTTAGCTTTTCCCCATCCTGCAGAGCTGTCTCTTCTTGTCAGCAAGCCCATTTGTGTCATTGGTCCCTAGGTGAGGAGCAGTTTTCCCCATCTGTCTCAGGTCTTCGGCCTGTGCCTTTGCACCGATGAAACAGCAAACCTTGGTTTCCAGCTTGCACTCCCTCCCTCCCTCCCTTCACTGTTTTATAGCAGCCCTCAATAGATTCGTGCTGGGAAGATGTGACACGCTTGCCTTCAGTGGCAAATTAACAACAAGGGGAGCTACACAGATGTTTTTTCTCATTCTCACATGTAGAAGTTTTCCCACCAACCTGGAAAACTGCCCAAGGCTTTTCTCTATTTAAGCAGGTAATTGAGCCAGGCATCGCCCCAGGGGCATCCCTCAGCTGGTTGTTCTGTTTCCCCTCCTCGGGCATAGGTGTATCGTCCTGTTGGTAGATAAAGCTGGCTCTGGGGGGCTGGGGCAGGATGGGCAGCTCTCCGGTGCGGGATCTGAGCAGCTGTGAGCGGGACCGGCCCGGAGGCTGTGATAGAGAGCGCTTCAGCAGCGCTGGTGAACAGCCAGGGCAAAACGCCGTGCCTGTTCGTTCAGCATCTGTGACAGGGCTTCTCCCCACGTTGGTTTTGTCCCGCCGCAGGTGACGGAGCTGAAGAACCTGCAGCAGCAGTACCTGCAGGTCGGCGTGGACACGGCCGAGATCTCTCGCCTGCGGACGCAGCTGCAGGAGCAGCAGCAGGAGGCAGAGGAGCTGCGCCGGGTCCAAGAGCAGCTCCAACAAGAGGGGGTTTCCTGGCAGCAAGAGCTCCAGCAGCTCAGGTGAGAACAGCACGCGGAGTCGGGGCAGTGACCGAGTCCTCCCTTGGACGCGGGTCGGAGCAGGCGTTAGGGGTGCTGGGTAGGCAGGGTTGCCATTGTGCCGTTCCCTGCCCTCGGCAGTGGCTAACACCGCACGTTGCTGCACTCGGGTCACACCTGCTGCAAGCAGTGCTGGCACGTAGGAGCTGACTTCCTTCCTTGTGCCAGCTCTGACGCACGACAGCCCCTGTGATTGCTGACCCCTCATTTAAGTCGCTGCAGGAACTCGTCCCAGTTGTACGCAGGCAAGGTCCTTGATCTTGCTAGCTTCATGCCTGCCCTGTGCTGAAGGCTGCCTGGACCACACAGTCCACAAGCTGATATCCAGCAGCCCTTCCCTCTCCCTGCTGCCCCCGCTACCAGAGCCACAGGTAACCTGCCTGTCTCATAGAGGTGCTGCAAATGCCCTGGCTCATTTCCCCACACCTTTCTCTCAATGGCCCATTCAGCTGGTGATGTGTGCCCGGTGTCTGCACAACGGCAAGTCATATTGAGCGTGGAGATGTCTCCATGCACAGCTCACAGATGTGGTTGGTGATGGGCGCCGAATGTCTGCGAGGACAAGCTTGTTGATTGCAGATGCCGTTTCTCTTCCTTGTTGTCTCTTTTGCTAAAGAAGGCAGCAAGAAAGCCTCGCATCAAACCCCAAGCTGAGGCCGTTTGGTGTTGAGGACCACCTGGCAGGTGGAGCCCCTCAGGCAGAGGACGTGCGCCCCGCTCTGCATACCAGGGTTGCCAGTCTGATGCATAGGGATGGTAACGAGCACAGGTCCCCCAGCGGAAGCTTTGACCAGCCACCCAGGCCCGTTGGGGAGTCCCCTGATGCCAGGCATAGACGGTTATAAAAAAAGAGGGGCCTTCACTGCCGCGGGAGGGAGCGTGGGATGGCATGGACTGCAGGGGTCAGTCATTCCCGGCTGTGCAGGAGAAACAGCGAGCTGCAGGTGGGGCTGCCAGATGCCCCCAGGCACCAACGCAGTCTGAGGATGCTCGAGAACAGCAGATACCCGAGGCAGGGGTGCCTACAGGCTTTGCGGGTGTTGCCCAGGTCTCTGCGCTGTTCATGCTGTCCAAAGTAGGGAGATACTGCTCAGCTTTGCAAGAGGCTCCAGTCCACGCATCTGCTTCTCCCTGGTGCCTGCCTCTGGACCTGGCACGCACAGGGGGAGGCTTCTTCCCTGCGGCTGTGTTGGGGGAATATCCTCCGTGAACCCCCCTGCATGTTCTTTGCAGACAGGAGAAGGCCACGTGGGAGGAGCAGAGCAGGGGGGTGAAGGAGCAGTGCCTGATGGCCATAGCCGACAAGGACCAGCAGCTGAGCCACCTGCAAAGGATTGTGCAGGAGCTGCGGCCGCCCCTGTCCCAGTCGCAGGTTGTGGAGGAGCAGCACCAGGGGCAGGTGAGCAGCGAGGTTCAGAAGAGCCAGAGGGCCGGTGCTGAGCATCTCGAGGGGGTGGCTTGTGGGGTCCCAGGCCTGGAGGGCTCTCTGTAGGGCACTGGGCCGGGGGTGTTACCGAGGGTCTGGCACTCAGCGGTAGAGTCACTCTCCCCGGCAGGCTTCGACAGAGCCCCCTGGCACCAGGGATGCATCCAACCTGGAAGCCGAGACGAAGCATCTCCGCGCCCAGCTGGGCGACAGCCTGAAGGAGCTGCACCACAAGGAGCTGAGGATCCAGCAGCTCCATAGCAAGGTACGGGACACGCCTGGCTGCAGGGCGGGGAGGAGCCAGGCCCCTGGCTGTCCATGGGCCCCTGCCTGCTTTGGGGACTTTGCTAGGTCCTGCACCACCCTCCCGTTGCAGCTGCAGCTGAGGTGAGCAGGAGGGGAGGCCCCGGTCTGTACCAGGGGGTAAAGGGTGCCGTGGACACAGGGCTGGGGGCAGGCCCTTCCCTGTCCTCAGCCCCCGAGCAGCCAGAAACCAGTGGCCCCCTGTGTGAGTGGGTGGGGAAGGCGCAGAGACCAAGGCCAGAGCAAGATGCAGCCAGGGGCTGGTCCCGGCATCAAAGGGGCTGCAAACTGGGGGCTCTGTCAGAGGGAGACCTTGCCTGGGGGAGGTTGGCGGTGGCTGCGGTCGGTGCCCGGCTGGGTGGGCTGAGCCCTGGGCTCCCAGGGGAGCAGCATGGCTGGCTGACTCAGAGCTGCCCCGCGCTCCCCTCTTCCCCTCCCCAGCTGTCCCCGCTCTTCGAGGAGAAGAACACCCTGTCGCTGCAGCTGCGGGGCAGCAGCCGGAGCCTGCGCGAGAGCCACCAGCACTACAGCGAGGTCCTGGCCCGCTGCGCCACGCTCGAGAAGCAGCTGCGGGACCTGCAACCACCCAGCAAGGATGTGGTAGGGGCTGGCACAGGGTGGGATCCTCCCCCGTGGCAGGCAAGGGCAGGTCTGGCTGCGGGCAGCGTATGGCCTGTCCGGGGCACCTGCACTTGGCTCATCTACCCTCACGCTCTCTGTCCCAGGGCTCCCTCATGACCGACGCCGCCCCCGGAGCCCCCCAGGAGAAGAGCGCGCCCCCGCGGGAGTGCTACACCCCCGAGCTGCAGGAGCTGCAGCTGAGGTGAGCAGGAGGGGAGGCCCCAGGCCTTGGCCCAGCACGTGGGGGAAGTGGCCCAGACCCACCAGCATCTGCGGGAAGCTGCGAGATGGACCCCCTCAATCAAGACTGCATTTATAGCTGTGGTCTCGAGCTCTCCGCGGGCTGGTCCCTGGATGGCCCAAGTCCTGCTGCAACAACGGCTCTATGGGAACGACGGGTCCCCGTGTCGGAGGCAGATCTTTGCTAGGAGCTGAGACGGGCAACAAGGGCAGCGGAGGGACTGGGGGGTCCCATGCGGAGAGGCAGAGGAGCGAGGCAGTGTTCGACTGGAGATTAGGGCATAACAGCGGGTTCCTGAACAGGGGGAAGGAGTGGTCTCCGCAGGCTGAGAGGCAAAGGGCTTCAACAGCAGCGCTGATTTTAGTATCTAAGTGTCAGGAAAAAAGCTCCCTCCTGCGAGATCAGCAGGCAGTGCGGCCCCAGAGCCAGCAGCGTCCCCTTTGCTACGGCTTTGTGAGCAGAGGCTAGATGGGCATCCGGGTGCAGACAGGACCCGTGCCTCGGTGCAGGGCTGGGATGAGACGCCCCTTGAGGGCTCCTCCAGCCTGTGGGTCTGGGCTTCCTGGGCTTTCTCAATAACCTCCTGCTTGCAGAGAGGGGAGGAGGCCAAGCCCCTTCCTGGTGCAGCGTGGGCAGGAAACGCCTGGTAACCGCAGATCCCTTTATTAAACCCTTTACGAATCCATGGTGCGGCCACAGCTTGCGTGTGGCGTCCAGCTGTGTCCTTGCAGGAGAAAGAAGAGCTGGAGCAGATGCAGAGACTGCGAGGATGAGGAGCCCTGTGGAGAGCCTTCCCTCGGAGACACACAAGGCCAGGCCTGGGCAGGAGAAGGGTTTGCAGCAAAGAGGAAGTCGCTAGGGATTTATTATGTACTGTCTTTCACAATACAAGAGCGAGGGGTCACAGCACAGAGCTAGGAGGTAGTATGTTTAAAGCAAGCACCAGGCCGCTCTTTCTCCCCGCATGGCATTAAAATGGGGCTTTGCGGCCACCAGGTGCAGTGGGAGCTGAGAGCTCGCCCATATCCACCCAGGGCCTGGAAAGGGGCATTGGAAGCGAGGGGCGCAGCCTCTGCATCAGACCAGCCTGGACCTTCAGTGCTGGAGGCTGCAAGGGGGAGAGGAGCCGGGGAAAACCCTGTTCAGACCCAGTCGCTCTGTTCAACCTCCTCTCCCTGCCCGTGTGACACCGGAGACTGGGCATGACAGACGTGAATCTGACCCAGTCCACGGCTGCTCTTCTGTTCTTCTTCCAGGCTGTCGGAGGCTGAGCACCTGCGCAGCAGCACGAAGCAGGACTTGCGGCAGGCAGAGGAGCAGCTGCAGGAGGAGCGAGACCGGCGCCTGGCCGTGGAGGACGCGCTCTGCGCCGCGCAGGATCAGATCCGGAGGTGAGAGCCCCACAGTCTCTGCCCTTGCCCAACGCCGGCCACACTCGGAGGCAGGAAATCATCATGGCCTTGCCTTAGAGTCGGGGTTCAAGGGCTGCCTTGTGCACCCAGCCCCGCAAGCCCTGCATGGAGTCCAGATGGGAGGTTGCTGGCATGGGCAGGCAGGGGACCTCCAGAGCCTGCCTGGGACCCCGAGCCCTTGCCTGTTTGAAGGTGCCCAGCCTTACAGCAGGAGCCCAAGTCCACGGAGCAGCAGGTATCCGTCTCCCCCCTGCCCCCAGGCAGGAGGTGAAGGGTGCAGTGGATGCTGCAACTTCATCCCTCACTGATGAGCCCCAGTTTGGCCCCGGCTCCAGCAAGCATCGGCTGTACTTGGAGGAGCCGCACGCAGCTGGGCCAAGCCTTGAAGATTTAACGCGGAGGCTGGGAAGCGGAGCAGGCATGGGCAGCCACGCCGTTGGCAAAGCTGTGGGTTGGTGTTCTTGAAACCCCAGGCTGCTGCAGCCATGGGGGGAAAGTCCGAGGGCATCCGCAGGGCTGCGCAGGGTGGGCACTCTGTCCTGGGGGCAAAGACGGCATGGGCTCAGTGTCGTAAGTGGTGTTGGGGCAGAGGAACCTGGCACCTGTGGTGGGAGCAAGAGGCAGATCCAGGGGTTTTGTCAGTCTCCGCCGTATCCCAGGGGCCTCCCATGCCAGCCGTAGCTTGACGACATCTCTGTTTCCTGCAGGCTGGAGTCAGGGGAGTGGGCGTCCACCCTGAGTCACGGCATCGATATGTCCCCTGCCCACGAGCATGCCCTGCTTCTGGACCCTGCCGAGGGCAGCTTCAGCAAGGTGAGAGCCCTCGAGCCGGCACCCAGGGCCTGCACGCAGACCCATTGCAGGAGTCCACGTGGCTCTCGAAGGGCAGGGAGGCAGCAGCTGACCACAGAGCGTCCGGCCGGCTGGGTGAGCCCAGCCCTGGGGTGACGGGCTGGTCCTTGCTCTGGGGCCAGACAGCTGAGAGCTGCAGGCACCATGCGCTTAGCCACCTGTTGCCTGGCACCTCGCTGTGGCCACAGCTGGGCCGTCCCCGTGTTTGTGGCTCGACAGCATGACCTGTCAGCCTCTTCCCGCGGGCCCCAGCCCCTGTGCCTGGATGGCCATGGCTGCAGAGGCCAGCATCTGCGTGCAGCTGTCGGAGCTGACCTCTGGCCGTGCGTGAGCCGAGCCCTTCTGCCTCCTTGTGCTATGCCTGAAGGGGCCAAAACACAGCTTTGGGGGGCTCCGGGGATACCGTGGCCCCTGCCACAGGTACACATCCTCCCTTCAGGAGGAGGCTATGGGGCTGGTGTTTGCTGACCCCAGCCCACCTCCCCAGGCAGGAGAGGGAAGGCGAGGGGGCAACACAACCAGGGATGGGGTGGGCTGGGCTGGTCACGGGCAGAGCCCTCTGAGCTGCGTCTGCCTGTAGCTCCTTGGGGCTGCGACGTGGAGGGGCCTGGAGCCAGCAGCAGGGACCTCGGATGAGCACGCTGTGGACCAGCTGCATCTGCACCCGCAAGAATAGTCCCTGTTGGGACTTGGTGCAGCCCCTCGAGACTCTGTAACAGCATTGCTCTCTCTCCTCTCTCCCTCCCCCAGACTCGGGGCAACTCTGGGCGGCGGCGCCTGCTGCGCTCCCTCTTCTGCTCCCGAGCGCGCCTGCCGCTGCTGGTGGCCGCATACCTGCTCGCGCTGCACGTCCTGCTGCTCCTGTGCTTCACCGGTCACCTGTGAACTGGGCCACCCGCCCTGCCCCACCAAGGGCCGTCTGCCCCTGCCCCCACCCGAAGCCTGGAGCCACGGGGTGGGGCCGACCTGCCGCTTCCACCAGATCCAGCCACGGTCACGCTGCAGCGGGGTCCCCACAGGAAACACCCCCAGGTGTCTGAGCCCCCAGCGCTTCATTAACCCCTTGATTGCTGGCTCTGCTGAAGCCCTGGCCCTTGGCCATTGGCACCAGAAGGAGCTTGTGCTCTCAACTTGTGCTGCTGTTGGGGTCCAGCACCCGCCCACGGACATGCAGCTTGGGGTAGCGGAGCCACCCTCGGGACGGTGGATTAAACCAGCCAGGGTCTGGTTCACATCTGCCGTGGGCTGGTTTCACACCGGCACTGTGGTGCCTGCAGCCAGACATCGGCAGTCACAGCAGCAGGGCATGGGGTCGGGCAGTCACTCGGTGTAGAAGGATTTTGAGACCTGCAGCTAAGGTCACAAAATCCTTAGATGCAGGTGTAGCAGTGGACGTAGTCTTTTTGGACTTCAGGAAGGCCTTCAACACTGTCTCTCACCCCATCCTCATTAAAAAACTAGGGGACTGTGGCGTGGACACCTACACAGTCAAATGGGTCACTAATTGGCTGGAGGGCCGCACCCAGAGCGTGGTGGTGGACAGGTCATTTTCAGCTTGGAGGGATGTGGGCAGTGGGGTCTCCCAGGGCTCGGTCCTTGGGCCTGCGCTGTTCAACATCTTCATCAGCGACTTGGACGAGGGGGTAAAAAGCACCCTGTACACATTCACTGACGACACCAAGATGTGGGGGGAAGTGGGCATGCTAGAAGGGAGGAACAGGCTGCAATCGGACTGGGACAGGTTACAGGGGTGGGTGGATGAGACTAGGATGGGTTTCAGCACTGACAAGTGCAAGGTGCTGCACCTGGGCGGGGGAAGAGCCAGCAGCAGACCTACAGGCTGGGGAACTCCCTTCTCGTCAGTGCAGAGGCAGAAAAGGATCTTGGAGTCATTACTGATGCCAAAATGAACATGGGCCGACAGTGTGGGGACGCGGTCAGGAAGGCCAACCGCACCTTGTCATGCATCCACAGATGCATCATGAGCAGGTCCCAGGAGGTGATCCTCCCCCTCTACGCGACACTGGTCAGGCCGCAGTTGGAGTACTGTGTCTAGTTCTGCGCGCCGCACTTCAGGAGGGATGTGGCCAGCATGGAGAGGGTCCAGAGGAGGCCACCCACGTGATCAGGGGCAGCAGGGCAGGCCCTACGAGGAGAGGCTGAGGGACCTGAACCTGTTCAGCCTCCACCAGCGAAGGCTGAGG